ACCTTTCACCTGTGGCCCTTCCCCCTCCTCTCCCTCCCCCCTTCCAACCCCCACCTCTCACCTGTGGTCACGTGCACGGACACAGATGCCGGGGGGCGCTCGAATCGGCACACAGGTGTAATTTCCAGAATCGGACACCTGCACAGCGGACATCATGAGCCGCGATGTCGTCCTTTCCCGCGTCTTTTCCAGCTGAAGGAGAGAGATACGTTATCTACTCGTCTATTTGTCTATTTATGGGTCTGTTTGTTTCTGTTGGGTTGTTGAGGTGTGTGTGTGTGTGTGTGTGTGTGTGTGTGTGTGTGTGTGTGTGTGTGTGTGTGTGTGTGTGTGTGTGTGTGTGTGTGTGTGTGTGTGTGTGTGTGTGTGTGTGTGTGTGTGTGTGTGTGTGTGTTGTGTGTGTGTGTGTGTGTGTGTGTGTGTGTGTGTGTGTGTGTGTGTGTGTGTGTGTGTGTGTGTGTGTGTGTGTGTGTGTGTTGTGTGTGTTTGTGTGTGTTTGTGTGTGTGCGTGTGCGTGTGCGTGTGCGTGTGCGTGTGCGTGTGCGTGTGCGTGCGCGTGCGTGCGTGAGTGTCTGTCTGTCTGTGTGCTTTGGTCTGGTATGTACTAATGTATATGCTATAATTTATATAATTAAAAAGGGGGAAATGTCAGTGGCAATTGAATAAAATAATAGAATAATAAAAAAATGAAAAACAGAGAGACGGACAAACAAAAACACGCGCTTAAGGAAAAGCAAAGAGTAATAAAAATGTAAATGATTTAAAAACAACAAAGAGCAACATTCGACTAAAAAGAATGATGACAATGGCGCTAGTGACAACAATGGCCGCTCTTTTACTAAAACTAATATTAATAATACTGATGCTAATGCTGCTGTTGTACCTGCTGTAATAACAATAATGTTAACAATTGTGATATTACCTTTAAATACGACAACAGTAATGATATCAACATTGTTCATTATATTTATTATAGTATTATCCTTATCATCTTATCCTCCTCCTTCTCATTATCATCGCTATCATCATCATCATCATTACTATTACTATTATCATTATTATCATCATTGTCATTACTATTATCATTATCATTATTATCTATTATTATTATTATTACAATTTTCATCATCATTAGCGTTATTATTATCATTGTTGTTATTATCATTAATTATATTATTATTATTATTATTATTATTATTATTATTTATATTATTATTATATATTATATTGTCATGATCATATCATTATTGTTATATATTATCATTATTATTATCATATTATTATCATTTATAATAATTAATAATATAATAATAATAATAATAATAATAATAATATAATTATTATTATATTATTATTATTATTATTATTATCATCATCATCGTCGTCGTCGTCATCATTGTTATCATCATCATTATCATTATTATTATCATCATTATTTTCATCATTATTATTGTTATCATTACTATTGTTATTATTATCATCATTATCATCATCATCATCATTATTGTTGTAGCAGTAATAGTGTCGTTAATAATAAATAATGATGAAGATCAGGCTGGTGATGCTATAATGATAAAAAATAGATAATATGATAAACCTTCCCTTGCTTTCTCTGCCCCTCTCTCTCTCTCCTCTCTCTCTCTCTCTCTCTCTCTCTCTCTCTCTCTCTCTCTCTCTCTCTCTCTCTCTCTCTCTCTCTCTCTCTCTCTCTCTCTCTCTCTCTCTCTCTCTCTCTCTCTCTCTCTCCATCCTTTCCTTCCTTCCCTCTCTCCCTACTTCCCTTCCCATTTTCTCTCCTTTCCCCCTCTCCCTCCCTTCCTCTCCCTCTCCCCTCTCCCCTATTCCCCCTCCTTCCCCCCCCTTCCCTCTCCCTCTCCCCTCCCTTCCCTCTCCCTCTCCCCTCCCCCCAATTCCTCACCATAATAGCGATCCCGCCCCTGGGAGAGTCGTAGTCCAGAAGGCGCTGCTGACGGAACCAGAGGAGGGCAGGCGGGGGGTCGTGGGTGTGGGTGACGACATTCTAGCGCTAGTGACGACCCCGCTTGGAGGTAGCGAGACGACTCCCCTACGATGCGAGTGGCGTATTCCCCTGTGGGAGTGTGGGGAAAGGGTGGGTGGGAGAGGGAGGGAAGGGTGGTATAGGACGGGTGGAGAGGAGGAGGAGGAAGGGGGAAGGTGGAAAGGGAAGGGGGGTAAGAGGGAAGGGAAGGTGTTAGGACGGTGGGTAGGAGGGAGAAGGGAGAAGGGATGGGAAGGAGGTGGGAGGAGGGAGAAGGGGGACGGGGAAGGGACGGAAGACGGGTGGGGAGGAGGGGAAGGTTAAGAGGGAAGGGAAGGGGTGGTATAGACGGGTGGGGAGGAGGGTGAAGGGAGGAGGAAGGAGGACGGGTGAGGACGGGTGGGAGGAGGGGAAGGGGGAAGGGGGAAGGAGGGAGGGGAGAGTGGGGAGGGGAAGGGAGGAGGGAGGGTGGAGGGTGAGAGGGGATAGAAGGGGAGAAGGGGAAAGAGAGTTTAAAAGAGGGGAGGGGGATGAAGGAGAGAGGAGAAGGGGAGGGATGAGGGGAAGGACGGGAGGGGGAGACATGAGACGGGAAAAGGGGTAGGACGGGAGGAAGGGAGACGAGGGAAGAGGAGGGGGAAAGGGGGGCGGGAGGGGAGAGAGGGGGAGACAGAAGAGGAAATGAAAGGGATAAAAGAAGGGAGGAGAGGAAGAATGGGAAGAAGGAAAGGTGTAAGGTGAAGGGGAGAAAAGGGAGAGGAAGGACGGAAGGAGGAGAGAATTGAGGAGAGAAATATAGGTAGGAATAAGGGAGATGGAGTAGGGAGAAGAAGAAATAGAGGAGGGGAAGATAGGGGAGAGAAAAGGGGAGAGAATGAACGAAGAAGGGGAAGAACAGAAATGTTAGGAGGAATGAGGGGGGAAGAGAGAATGTGGATAGGGGGAGGGGAGAGGGAGGGAGGGAGGATAGAGGGGGGAATACGGGGTCGAAGGGAGGGTAAGGGGGGGAGGGGGGTAAAGGAGGAGGGAGGGTCAGAAGAATATAAAATTTATTTATTGTTATGATAGCGTTGAATTTATTTATTGATCATGCCTTTTGCTTCTCGATATATTTCTGTTGTCTGTTGGTCGCCATGTTTACTGATGCATCACTATGCGTCTGTCTGTGCATGTTTGCATGTGTGTGTATGTGTATGTGAGTGTGTTTGTATGCATATATATATATATATATATATATATATATATATATATATATATATATATATATATATACACACACCACACACACACACACACACACACACACACACACACACACACACACACACACACACACACACACACACACACACACACACACATCCATACACATTGTATTTATACGTATGTGTACACACACACACACACACACACACACACACACACACACACACACACACACACACACACACCACACACACACACACACACACACACACACACACACACACACACACACACATACACACACACATACACATATATATATATATATATATATACAAATTTTTCAAAAAAGTATTTCCTCTTCCTCTTTGCTCACCGTGTTCAGGATCAGCTGCAGGCAGTCTGTACAGCCTGTTGTCCAGCCGACGTCTATCTGCGGGAATCAGATCAAATCAGAATTACACAAAATTACGTCCAGTGAATAAACTTTATAGCTCATTTATGCCCAATAACATACCATTATTCTCAACCACTCAGACCCGCATGCAACCTAACATTAACACAGACACGACTAACTGTATACACTCGACCGCACACACATGCAAGAACATACACACACATGCATGCACACACACACACATACATGTACACACACACACACACAAGCACCCCCCTCCCCACACACACACAAATACACAGACACACAAACACAAACACATATGTACACAGAAACACAAACACACATGTACACAGAACACAAACACACATGTGCACAGACACACAAACACACATGTGCACAGACACACAAACACACATGTGCACAGACACATAAACACAAACACACATGTACACAGACACACCAAACACACATGTCACAGACACAACACAGACACACAAACACAAACACACATGTACACAGACACACAACACAAAACACACATGTACACAGACACACACACAAACACACATGTTACACAGACACACAAACACAAAACACACATGTACACAGACACGCAAACACAAACACACATGTACACAGACAAACACACATGTACACTACACATGTACACAGACACCAACACACATGTACACATGTACACAGACACACAAACACAAACACACATGTACACAGACACACAAACACAAAACACACATGTACACAGACACACAAACACAAACACACTACACACACAAACACAAACACACATGTACACAGAGACACACAAACACACATGTACACAGACACAAAACACACATGTACACAAAACACCACACATGTACACAGACACACAAACACAAACACCACACATGTACACACACACAAACACAAACACACATGTACACAGACACACAAACACAAACACACATGTACACAGACACACAAACACAACACACATGTACACAGACACACAAACACAAACACACATGTACACAGACACACAAACACACATGTACACACAACACAAACACACATGTACAAAGACACACAAACACAAACACACATGTACACAGACACACAAACACAAACACACATACACAGACACACACAAACACAAACACACATGTACAAAGACACACAAACCTATCCATACACCCACTCACCCACACACAACCCCCCCCACCCCCCACAAACACCCCCCCCCCCCCCACAACCACCCTATAGCCCCACTCACTCACCCATGACGCTGAGATTGACGTCTTTGAAGATCTTGGGATGTGAGTTGACTTGGCACTTGTAGGTCCCGGAGTCCCAGGGTCGCGTGGCACTCACCTGCAGCGTCCAGTCCTCCGTCTCGGGCGTGTGGAGGACCTGGGGGGGGGGAGGGGGTGAGAAGAACGGAGATGAGAATGCGTGTTGTGTTTGTGTTGTTTGTGTGTGTGTGTGTTTTGTTTGTTATTGTGTGGATGTGCTTGTTTGTTTGTTTATTTGTGTGGATGTGTTTGTTTGTTTGTTTATGTTTATTTTTTATTTGTGTGTGTTTGTTTGTTTATTGTATTTATTTGTTATTTGTGTGTATGTGTTAGTTGTGTGTGTTTGTTCGTGTGTGTTTCTTTGTCTGTTTATTTGTGTGTATGTGTTTGTTTGTGTGTGTGTGTTTGGCTATTTAGGAGAAAGGGGAGGAAATCAGATGTGTCTCGTCTCTATGACC